ATGGCTCCTTTCACATTTTGCCACGCTTCGTCCACATGTTCACTGCCACCACAGTATTGTTTTACTGTGGAGAGTTGTTGGGCTAGCTCAGATCGATACTGTTGAGCTATGGCAGTTCTTCTGAGATAGTGGATTGGCACGTTTCTTGCCGACTTGCGAGGGCCTGAAGGGAAACGAACTGTCAGGCGTGCGCGCACCATGGCGTGATCGGAATCAAGTGGTGTGCCCCAGAAGGAACGGCAGTCTTGAATTGTGGCTCTCCACCGGTGACTGATGGCCACGTGGTCCAACTGGGTCCACGGTTGGTTCTGAGCTCCTTCCTGTTTACAAGTGTTCAAAAGATGCCGTGCGAAAACATTTTTCGGCTGTACGTAAATTTCTCGCAAGGTTTCGATGGCTGATTCATAGTATTTGCAGTCTTTGATGAATCGGTAAACACTAGGGGAGACGTAATTGAACAAGGTTTTCAGTTTATCTGGTGAATGAGGACCGATTGACTCTAGGAAGTTTGTGAAAGTACAAAACCAGGTATCTGCCGAGTCTTGAGTATTGTAGTCGGTATCGAATCGTTCAGGACGTAAGAATCGATCCATTGTTCGAAAACTTTTTTGGATGAATAAATTGTTGTACGAGGCGAGGGTCGGAGTGCAACGACAATCAGAATGACAATGGAAAAGACTGACGGCCCGAAAGCTAGGCTTTATTCATCCAAAAACACTGAGAGGAGAGCTGGAAACGGAAGAAAGTGATTTAGCAACAAATGATGAAACGTTTGAAAAACAGAGCAAATATATAACAGGTAGCAAATAAAATAATGATCGTTCATCTGTAATACCCTGTCGGTGCCTAGCTGCAATGCTATCCGAGGGAAGTACGAGGACTGAGATCCCGCCCAAGCCACTTGGAGCTGGCACATGCCAAAAAAATTCGCGCTCTAACCAGTGAGCCACCTCACCCCTGCCAATCCCTTAGCCACTGTTCCGCGTCTCAAACGTCGCCCAGAAAAATAAACCAAAATACTCACCTTCTAACCTCAAAAGATCTGATCCACGTTGCAGCCTTTAATGTCTGTTCTGTTTGTCAAATTGGGTAGCAAGCATCCCTTGCTGAAATCTTACTTTCCCTCTCCATCGATGCATGTTGTCTCCGAAACACGTATACGAGACCCCACTTCGACAGTGCTCCTCAAGCCGCTTAGGACGAGCTTAGATGTTCCACATTTCACTCTTCGGGCATCCGGTTATCCTGACGCAACGGCTTGTGGTATTTATGGTGTGGGAGTTGCACCCAGCTCAAAGTGCCTTACCCTCAGTTACATTTCGTCTCAAATGACTCATTATCCTACAATATGCATTCCGTTCAAATGTATAATGCTTCGTCGATAGACAAGCGAACTAGCAATGAATTCCCTTTTAGTATCCAATGGTATCAAGTTCCACAGCATCTTGTTAATAATGGATAATCGCTCATTGTAAATAAAAATAATCGTTCACCTCACTGTAACACTCGAGGCATGGCTGACATGCCATCAGGAGGAAGCACGAGGGCTCGAACAATGCCAGGTTGCCCAAGCCTAGACAGGAGAATTCAAGGTGCAGAGGTCGGGTTCGAACCACGCACCATCTGGTCAGTAAATTCATGCCCTATCCACTGAGCCATCTCACCACACGTCACCTGAAGATTTGAAACTTATCCCAAAACATCACCAAGCGTGGTTCAAACGATCTCGAGCACCACTGACACCAGTCCTTAGTCTTCAGCAGTCTTATACTGCATAAACTGTGAGGTGATAGCCATCTTTTAAGGGTGGACCAATGGTATGACACACTTTCTTTGTGGTATCTCCTCCCGGGGAGTAACTCCGCCATTCGATGAGCTTGAAAATAACTCATCTGTCCTGTAGGTGTGAGTTTTCCAGATCTCATTGGCCCGGTAACTGTCGATCGATCGACCAGTCTTTCAAGACCCCCCAGCCATGTGAAGTTACGAACGCCTGAGATCCGCTGAACACTTTTGATTAGTTGTAGGCGCGGATTCCTTGCAAACGCCCTCAGTTATGACATGGCTAAGTGTAGTTCTGCTTTGATACTGTTAAGCTGCTCATTCTTACACAGGAGCTATCGAAAGGTCATGAGTGGGCCCGAACTACGAGCCCTCAGTCATTTAGCTTTCCAGAGTTGAATCTTGCTTTCTGTAGTCGTTTTATGATTCGTTGCGAAAACTATGCTATAATTATTACCTTCTGTTCGCTTCTAGCTCCCTGCATGGTAAGCATGAATCCAGATCCTGCTACTGCAGGCATTATCTGCATGTGGCTTGAAAGCTTGCTACAAAACTTGCGTTCTTCAGCCACAACAGATTCTGGGATTTGCACCACGCTTACTACTAGCATTGCTAGCCCTCAAGTTCAGCAGTCACCTTCCGTTTCATACCAGAAGTTAACTAATAAAACCGTTGGTTTGCATCTAATTGAGCAGCCCCCTGATCCCATTCAAACACAGGCAGAAGGTTTTGGACCTCTGATTTCTGCCGTTCACACTCGCTCAAGCGACCGTCATCCAGCACCGTCTCCCAGTCTCCAGCCAACTCCGATGTCAAATGTTGTGCCCATCAAAAACACATCTGTTTGCACACTTTTTGCTTGGTGTCCAGTTGATATCAAACCCGACGGTGACTGCCGCTTGGCCGGGTTTTATAAGCTGAATCGCGATGGCCCTTTTCACTTCATTACAACAGGAACAGTCACTTCCGTTTCCGAAGACGGAAAATCCGTACTGACTGATGGGGGTCATACATTCAGTCTTTACGGAGGCATTTCCTGGTGGATATATGCAGCAGGTACCGAGAAACCAGAAGCTATGCAACTCCCCACGCAAATTCAACTAGCGTTTTCCCGAGGCTTTCCGACTTCACACTGGAGGTCCCATACGCAAGCTCTGTATTATTTCATTGCAACTTCACAATTTCGGCCTCCAACTGACCTGGACGAACGGTTAGCACAAAAGAGCAACCCCGAGCCATGCTTTCGGACCCCAAACTCAGCGAATAGACTATCAAAGGTGAGACAGATGTGGTAGCTATTTTCGAGCCAGTTTTATTGCTTTGGTAATTCCAGTCTTTGGCGTTCATGAACTTTTGTTGTGTTCGAGACTCAGAAGAAACTACCAATTTTCCGGCATCGTTTCGGAACTAAACCAACTGTCGTTAAAGCACAGGTATCTGAGGGAGTATTGAGGTCGACTGGCTGTCTGAACCACGCTGTTCACAGAGCAACACGCGGACGAAAGACCCGAATTGCGTCAGTATAAGTTTGAATAAGTACCTGCTAGCTTAAGCGCTCCTGAGGCCGCTCGTTTGGTAAAACGGTTACTTCCGCAAAAATAAATGCTGTTTATAAAAACCCGTTCGCGGCTCGTATGAAGTGCGGAAGCGTGGTCGGCCATGGCAAACAGACTCATCATCATAGGCAGTTGTAATCATTAGCGGGAACTGGTGCTTACACAACCATGGTAGGTTGTCGTGGTAAAAGATAAAGAGAAAGGAGATGGATCAGGGCTTATTGCAAACAGTCCTAAATCTCCGGCAAAACCGTCCGAAAGCGAGGTGTCTACATTTTCCAAAACCATTGAGTTAAAAATATCTGAGAATCTTCTTGGAATAAGGTATCATCGGCTAGCCTCACGCAACACAATGACAGGCGGGCATTAGCTGGGCAGTCCGACCAAGAAATTCCAGCAAGATCGTCACTTGGATCTGTTACGTGCCATATCCTGCAGGGCTTCCAGTCATGCCCAAGTGGATTCACATAAATTTCACCCACGAGGGCACGGATATCTAATAATTTTCAACTTGAAAGTAGCCACTTTAATTTCTTAGTCTATCCTCTGCAAACTTTCCGCCAACAAGGGTTTGGGGGGGGGGGATAGTCTTCTTTAGTAGACGATGGTCCAATCAACCTTAAACTTATAAGTTTTTTTTT